AGAGTCCAAGCCAAAAACCCCTCAATTCATCTGTAGGACCTCTGGTCTCATCCCCTGTCCCCCAGATTCACCCCCTCACTTCCTTCAAGTCTTTCTTTCTTTCTTTGAGATTGAGTTTTACTCTTGTTGCCCAGGCTGGAGTGCAGTGACATGATCTCGGCTCACTGCAGCCTCTGCCTCCCGGGTTCAAGCAATTCTCCTGCCTCAGCCTCCCGAGCAGCTGGGATTGCAGGTGTGTACCACCATGCCCAGCTAATGTTTGTATTTTTAGTAAAGACAGAGTTTCACCATGTTGGCCATGCTGGTCTCAAACTCCTGACCTCAGATGATCTGCCTACCTCAGCCTCCCAAAGCGCCAGGACTACAGGCGTGAGCCACCACCCCACCCCTGACTGCCTCTTCAAGTCTTTCTTTCTTTCTTTTTTTTTATTTTTTGAGACAGAGTTTCACTCTTGTTACCCAGGCTGGAGTGCAATGGTGCTATCTCGGCTCACCGCAACCTCCGCCTCCTGGGTTCAGGCAATTTTCCTGCCTCAGCCTCCTGAGTAGCTGGGACTACAGGCACGCACCGCCATGCCCAGCTAATTTTTGTATTTTTAGTAGAGACAGGGTTTCACCTTGTTGACCAGGATGGTCTCGATCTCTTGACCTCATGATCCACCCGCTTCAGCCTCCCAAAGTGCTGGGATTACAGGCTTGAGCCACCGCACCCAGCCTCAAGTCTTTGATTAAAGACTCCACATCAGCTGATGTCTGTTCTGGCCACCCAGTCTGAAACCATGACCTCCTCCAGGAGCATGCCCCACACCCTGCTGAAACTCCCTCTGGGCCATGAGAAGGACAAGATCATAATTTTCTTCTTTGCTTATTGTCTCTCCCCCAGCTAGAGCATCAGCTCCTAAAGGACGGGGGACTTTTTCATTTTGTTGACTGTTCTGTCTCCTTAAAACAGTACCTGGCATGCAGTAAGCATCCAATATTTGCTAAATATTTGCTAAATGACTGACTGAATAAATGATATCCTTCATCTACAACCTGGTCTCCACATGGTCTGGTTTCGGCACAGATTTCTTCCCCAGGGTAGGGAGGCAGAGCACATCCACTGACTCAGCAGATGGTAAATGCTCACTTGATTCTTTTGTTTATTCTTGTTTCCCAAGGGATTTCTGCAAAGGGAAAAGATGCCAGCAAGCTAAGGATATTCAAAAGTCGGGGAGAAAGAAGGGAGCCAGAGACAAGGAAAACCCTGGCTTTTCACTGGACCTGGTGGATGCTGGGCTCTGCCAGGGACCGATCAGAGAGGAAATCTGCCCAGGATCTAGGCTGGGGGACAGACACTAAAGAAATGTGACTGGAGCCATGAGGGCTTCCCAGAGGAGGTGATATTTGGACAACAGTATATGCACAGGCCCAGAGGTGGGAAAGCATATGGCCTGTTCATGAAATTTCAGTAACATGTTCTGGCCTCCCCACCCCACTTAAGTGCTCTGGAGATGGAGAAGTCACCTGAGACACTCACAGGGTTACATCTTGCTTGCTCAGGACTGCAGGTGCCATGACTCAGCTGAGGTCAAAGACTTCTCTGACTCCAGAATCCCTTTCTGTCTCTTAGCAAGTAATGACTCACTCTCTAGTCTTGTTTTGTTTACAAACGCCCCAATACAAGACACACTGGTTAAAACAATAATAAAAGCAGGCTAGTAGAGGCTAGTCTCGGTAAATATATCTGACAAAGGAATGGCAACTGAACAACAAAAATAACTCTAATGAATTTTAAAATGAAAAAATTAATTTTGAGCCACAAAAATTTTGGCACACAAATAGGCCAAAGTGTTCACAACAGTGGATATCCAAATGGCTAAGGGGCACATAAAAGGAGGCGCAATATCTGCATTCACGAGGTCACCGAAGATGACAGCTGCAGTGTGATGTGACTTCACATGCAGAACAGCTAACTTGGAAAAGACAGGGCAATGAATGAAACTCACAAAACTGTCGGCAGGTGTGTAAAATAGTATATCCACTTTGGAAAAAGCTCTGGCAGTTTCTAACAAAACTAAATATACACCTACTATAAGATCCAGCAAAGGCTAGGTATGGTGGCTCCCACCTGTAATCCCAGCAGCTGTGGCTCAAGCCTGTAATCAATCCCAGCACTTTGGGAGGCCAAGGCAGGTGGATCACCTTGACCCGAGGTTGTCAAGAGATCGAGACCATCCTGGTCAACATGGTGAAACCCCGTCTCTACTAAAAATACAAAAAATTAGCTGGGCATGGTGGTGCGTGCCTGTAATCCCAGCTACTCAGGTGGCTGAGGCAGGAGAATTGTCTGAACCCAGGAAGTGGAGGTTGCGGTGAGCCGAGATCGCACCATTGCACTCCAGCCTGGGTAACAAGAGCGAAACTCCATCTCAAAAAAAAAAAAAAAAAAAAAGAATTTTACCCCAAAATATATTCTTTCACATATTCTGGAATGGCCCTGCAATGCCCTCTCTACTGTGGGAAATTTGCGTGTGTGAAGAATCTTCCTCCCTTTCTGAGTCTTTTCCTGATTAAGGAGAGATTTGACTAAGAGTCTGACACCTTTTAAAGTCCTAAAAGAGACATTTACCATCTATTTTTTCTGAAGGCTGCTACTCAGAGGCTTCATCTGCATAATAAGAACCTTGGCTTCCACAACCCCCCTTATCTTAACTCAAGTATTTCTTTCTGAAATCAATTCTTTGGGCAAAGCTTTACTCTTTCAACCAACAGCCAATCAGAACATCTTTGAATCGGCATAATCCCAGAACTTTAAGAGGTCGAGGCAGGTGGATCCCCTGAGCGTGGACAACATGGTGAAACCCCATCTCTCCAAGAAGTACAAAAAATTAGCCGGGTGTGGTGGCCTACGCCAGTGGTCCCAGCTACTTGGGAGGCTGAGGTGGAAGGATCAGAGGATATTCTCAGTAAGTATATCTGACAAAGGAATGGCTTGAGCCAGGTAGGCAGAGGTTGCAGTGGGCCAAGATGGCGCCACTGCACTCCAACGTGGGTGACAGAGACCCTGTTACAAAAAAAGGAAATATTTGGCCGGGCGCAATGGCTCATGCCTGTAATCCCAGCACTCTGGGAGGCCACAGCAGATCCACCCAAGGTTGGAAGTTCTTTTTTTTTTTTTTTTTTTTTTTTTTGAGACGGAGTTTCCCTTTTTTTACCCAGGCTGGAGGGCAATGGCGCGATCTCGGCTCACAACAACCTCCATCTCCTGGGTTCAGGCAATTCTCCTGCCTCAGCCTCCTGAGTAGCTGGGATTACAGGTACGCGCCACCATTCGCAGCTAATTTTATGTATTTTTAGTAGAGACGGGGTTTCACCATGTTGACCAGGATGGTCTTGATCTCTTGACCTTGTGATCCACCCGCCTCGGCCTCCCAAAGTGCTGGGATTACAGGCGTGAGCCACCGCGCCTGGGTTTTTTTTTTTTTAATTTGTTTATTTATTTATTCATTTAATAGAGATGGGATTTCACCATGTTGGTCAGGCTGGTCTCAAACTCCTGACTTTGTGATCCACTCACCTCAGCCTCCCAAAGTGCTAGGATTATAGGCGTGAGCCACTGCACCTGGCCCTGACTTTGGAAGTTCTAAACCAGCCTGGCCAACATGACGAAACCCCGTCTCTACTAAAAAACACAAAAATTAGCCGGGCGTGGTGGCACAGGCCTGTCGTCCCAGCTACTTGAGAGGCTGAGGCAGGAGAATAGCTTGAACCTGGGAGACAGAGGCTGCAGTGAGCCGAGATCGCGCCACTGTACTCCAGCCTGGGCGACAAGGTGAGACTCCGTGTTACAAAAATTAAAAAAGTAACCTGTGTGATTCACTGCACAACTATGGACAGCAAGCGTGCAGCTTCAGGTATGAGCAAGAGGGGAGGGCTTGGATGTGAGGTTGAACCTTGTGGAGCCTAATTACTTTGCCTTTCAAAGAAGTCTGAGCCCCAAGAGTCCTGAGTGTCTTCAAGCAAGTCCCTGCCCCTGTCTGGGACTGAGCTTCTCCATCTTTAGACTGGATGCAAGGATCCCCAAGGCCTCTCCCTACATTTCTGCCTCTTTGGGAGAGGGCATTTGACTCCTATCCCAAACAAGGTTTCAAGGGACAATTCCTCCCCAGTAGCCCAGGCCGCGCATATGGGTGGGTGTAAACATGGGTGGGTGCGCACTCCTAGCACGAATTGCCCCAGGGCTCCAGCTGCATGAGAACTTATGCATGTCTTTCACCGCCTTAAATATTTGCTCATCTGTAAAATGGAGTGAAGCATATCTACTGCTCAGGCTGTAGCGATGCATCTCAGCGCAGTGTTCACTGAGCGCTTTCTGCGCGCCAGGGCTTTGCCATACACAGGTCGTGCACACGGCAAGTGCTTAATAAATGGTGACTGTCGGCCGGGCGCGGTGGCTCACGCCTGTAATTCCAGCACTTTGGGAGGCCGAGGCGGGTGGACCACGAGGTCAAGAGATCGAGACCATCCTGGTCCACATGGTGAAACCCCGTCTCTACTAAAAATACAAACATTAACTGGGCATGGTGGCGCATACCTGTAGTCCCAGCTACTCAGGAGGGTAAGGCAGGAGAATTGCTTGAACCCAGGAGGCGGAGGTTGCAGTGAGCCGAGATCGCGTCATTGCACTCCAGCCTGAGTAACAAGAGCGAAACTCCGTCTCAAAAATAGAAAAGAAAAAGAAACAAATGGTGACTGCCTTGGGGACGATTAGAATTTCCATACAGGTTGTTACGTCTTTTTTAGAAGGGTCCTTGTGGTGGCCCCAAAGTTGCACGTGGGACAAACGCAAGAGGGAAAAGTAGCTCGGCGCGGCCGCGGCCCGTGTTGTTTTGTTTGGGGCTGCGAGCTGAACGCCGCCAGCGCGGCCTCTTTAAGAGCTGACTGGAATGTATCAAAGCAAAAAGGCCGCGCGCCCACTGGCTGCGCGCTGCACGTGACCTCACAGCTGATTTTCTGGCCACCCCCCTCCTTTTTGTTGCTGCCGCAGCCGCCGAGTGTCAGTTTCAGCGCCGCTGCCTGCGGTTTCCCAGGCCCGAACCAGCCCACTGCCCGCCGCCCGCGCCCGCGTCCGCGTCCGAGCCCCGCCGCGCGCCCGAGCCCTCCCAGCGCGCCCAGGCCCCAGCCGGCGCCACCCGGGTCCCCGCTCCGCAGCCGCGCGCGCAGATGGCGCACTCGGCGGCCGCCGTGTCGCTGGGCGCGCTGGAGCAGGGCTGCCCCATCCGCGTGGAGCACGACCGCCGGCGCCGCCAGTTCACCGTCCGGCTCAACGGTAACGCTGCCCCGGCCCGCCCCCACCTTTTGTGTGCGAGCGAGCGGGGCCCGCCGGGGCCGCCCCCTAGCTGGGCGCCAGTCCCCCGCGCGCCCCCGACCCGGCCCCGGCCCGCCGCCTGGGAGGGCTGTTGCGAGCGCGCGCCGCGGGGTCGTCCAGGGCGGCCGGAGCTCTGTGCGCAGGCCGGGTTGCGCTCTGAGCCAGGTGGGGGCGGGACGGGCTGGGCAAGGGCGGACTTCCCCTGATAGCAGGGCCCAGGGCGGACGGGCCCCTGGAAAAGCAGAGACAGGAGCTGGGACAGCGCGGGTCCCCCGTCTCAGCCGCAGGGGACCCGTACCCAGTTGTTCACCGCTGTTGGGCACCCACTGAGAGCTGCTGTTTGAGATCCTGGAAAGCTGTTCAGCCGTCACCTGTCCCCTTCCATGGGTGTCATATGGCTTCTTGCTGCCCCGGTACCCTTAGTCTTTCTACATTGGGGAGATTGGAAGAATCCTCTCTGCGGACCTGGGGCCGACCGCGAAAGGGGCTTTGGGTCCTGTGGCGGGTGGGGGGGCGAATGGCTCTCATTATCAGACTTAAGCGGCTCTGGGACTTGCCATTTGCGTCACTTCTGTGTGCCTCAGTTTCTCCCTCTCTGCAGTGAGAATAGCACCAGTGCACACCCCATTGGGTAGTTGTAAGGATGAAACACTGTAACAAATGGAAAGGATCAGACCAGCTCGTGGGGGACTAGTAAGTGCTGGTAAACGTGGGCCGATCGAGATTCATGAAGCCAGAGAGCAAGGTCAAGTCTTCCTTTAGTGTAGAGAAGTTTGGATTAGCCCATCCCCCAGGAGGTCAGACGGGTAGAAAATAGAACTACAAAAATGAGGGCCTTTACCCACAGTGGGTAAAGGCGGGCCTAGCCCGCCCCGGTGGGAATGTCCAAGCTGGACCGGCCCTTAGAGCCACCATGCCCGTTTTCAAGAAGGGAAGGTGGAAGGGCAGGAAAGGGAAGGGCTTGCCAGAGGTCAGGCCAAGAGTTGGGGCAGAGCTGGGATGGCATCCTGACTGGTCTGACTCCCTGAACCGTGGGGCTCTTGCGACCGGCACGTGGCTTCAGCCAGGAGGGGCCTCTGCCAGATCTCTTGATACCATTTGGAAGGTACTGAGTGTCGAGCCAGGCCCCACTACAGCCTCGTGGATGGGGCCGTCACGGTATCCTGACACTTTTGTGACACCCACCCCATGTTACAGATGTGTAAGCAGAGGCTAGGGACCTCAGGAAGTGATTGCCCTGCATCAGCCAGAACTTCGGCATCGGCCCAGCGGACCCTACACCAACAGGCAGAGGCTGCTACTGCTGTGGTGCCAGCGGGCTCAGCTGGCCGTGACACCCGGGCCCTGGCCAGTCAGGGAGAGAGGCCTCATGGCTTTCAAATCCTGTTTTCTGAGGTTCCAGAGCAGCCTCTGGTTCCCTTGGGGACTCAGGAAGCCCATTATTACACTCAGGGACAGAAAGAAGAGGGGAAATGTTTGGTTTTTTTTTTTTCTTTCTCTTCCAAGTGGGTACTGCCAAAGGACAGCCCTCCAGAGCTGGCGGTGGTCAGAGCTGGACATGCCCAGCCATGTTTCAAAACTTGCCCCCTTCTGGAACTTACTGCCCAGATGGCTGACTACAGACGTGGCTGGGGATCCCCCCAGCCAAGCCCAGGGGAGAAAGAAGAAGGAGGCCAGAGGCCCCCCCAAGGGAGAGGCTGTGCAGCACAAGGAGGGCCTCCTCTGGGCCTCCAGGCCATACTGGGTTTGGGTTTGGGTGTGTGTGTTAGGGCCAGAGAGAGGTTGTCTGAGTCTAGGCCAGGGCCTCCCTGAGCCGGGGAGGGGAACAGGCTGTGGTATCATTCCCGACCTGTAAGGCAAACCTGGAGGATGGCACTGTTGTGCCCACTGAGAGATACGAACCCTGAGGCTGAGGGCTCAGGTAGTCCTGGGCTCCTGCTGCAAGAGTGTGCCTGGGCTGTCCACGTGGCAGAGCTAGATTGATTCTGTTCCTGCAAACTCTGGTTCTGAATGAGGGAAAACGTTTGGGCAGCTTCGCTGATGAAGCACTTACAGTCTTCTAAGAGGCCGTGTGCACCTTGAATCACTGTTCCATAGCCACACAGCACACGGAGAGGGAAAACTGCATTGCCCGTATACAGCTGGGGAGACTGAGGCATGGGGAAGTGAAAGGACTGCCCAAAGTCTCGCACCCCAGAGGTAGAAACGCTGAGATTCACCCCATAAGTCTTCATTGAGTGCCTACATGTGCCAACCTAAAGGTGTTGGGATCTCGTGGGGCTGACAGTTTAGAGGGGGAGATGGACAAGAAATTGAGTCAGTTTTAACATGTCCTAGAAAACAAGGGCTCTCATGAAAGGTGAAACAGCGGCCAGAGGGGAGGCTGCATGGGGGCAGGGCTGCTGTTTCGAATCATATGTTAAGGAAGGCCTCTCCCTGGAGGGTGGCATTTAAGTGAAGACCTGGAGGGGCAAGAGATGGAGTTACAACAGGGAAAAGTGTTCAAGTGGAGGGAACAGCAAGAGCAAAGGCTCTGGGGCGGGTGGCCTGGAAGCCAGCGTCCTGTGGGCTTGGCTTTGACTCTGAGGCACCCAGGAGGGTCCTGGTGGAGGACGGAGGGGATGCACCAGCTCCCTCTGGCTGCTCTAAGGGGAGCAAATTCTGGGGGCCAGGACAGAGTAGGGAGGTGGCTGCTTTACTAGTGCAGGCGATGCAAACAGGTGTGGGCAAAACATCCAGATTCTGAACAGAGGTGGAAGGAAGCATGGCTGGGACTTGCTGATGGGTGATAAGGGATGGCTTAAGCTCAGGCTTGTCTGATCCCACATCCCAGTTCTGAAATGCAAGCTTGTCGTCACTTTGTAGATGGGGAAACTAAGGTACACAGCCTGTAGGCAGCTAAGCCAGAATCAAGCCCCTAGCCTCCATCTGAGGATGGTTTTGTCTTTTTTTTTTGAGACGGAGTTTTGCTCTTGTTACCCAGGCTGGAGTGCAATGGCGCGATCTCGGCTCACCACAACCTCCTCCTCCTGGGTTCAGGCAATTCTCTTGCCTCAGCCTCCTGAGTAGCTGGGATTACAGGCACGCATAACCGTGCCCAGCTAATTTTTTGTATTTTTAGTAGAGACAGGGTTTCACCATGTTGACCAGGATGGTCTCGATCTCTTGACCTCGTGATCCACCCGCCTCAGCCTCCCAAAGTGCTGGGATTACAGGCGTGAGCCACCGTGCCCGGCCCCTGAGGATGATTTTTGAAGGTTGGAGGCAGCTGGAAGAGACCCTCACCTCCCAGGCAGCCCCTTCCTCGGCCTTCCCTCTCTCCTTCACAGGCAGGGCTGAGTATCCCACCTGCTGCAAGGCAAGGGTCAGTTGAGGGTTGCAGAACCCTGGAACTTCCTGCATCCTCCCTAAGCCCCATTTTGCAGACAGGTGGACTGAGGCCCCAGAGAGTCAGCTGCTGCCTCTGGCCTCCCTCAGCACCCTGGATGCAGTGGAGCTGAGACCGCAGCCTCAGGTCTTGCAGGGTGCTCAGATCACAGTCCCAGTATATATGAGAACCCTGGCTGAGTTGGGCTGGGCTGGACCAGGGTCCTGTGGGGAGGGGAAGGACCTATGGTTGAGCTTCTCCAGGCCCACAGTCCCCCCTGCTTCACTCACCAGTGAGCCATCAACATGTGGCCCGTCCCTGATCCAGACCATGCTTATGGAGTGCTGGAAAAGCCAGCCAGGGTGTCTACTTGTCCTTGTTCAGTGCCACGGCTCCGGGAGCCTGCGTTCTCCCTCTTGTCTGTCTCAGTTTCCTCATCTGTACATTGGCGTTTTGATCAGCCAGCTCTCCTTGAGGGGTTGGTGTGGGCTGAGTGGAGAAAGCAGAGGTCAACACCTTCTGCAGACTCCACATCTCCCAGAGGTCCTGCCTCTCTTCCTGACCTGCAAGCTTTGGTCTTTCTCCGTTATCACTTCCCCGATGACTTCCTAGGACCCCTTTGGGGAGGGGCAGAGAGAGCATGGGGGTGCAGAGACCCAGGGATGGGTCCCCCACGAGCAGAGTAGCTTTAACTTTTCTCAGACCAGTCACAGTCCATGATGTTGGTGGGGTTGTCAGGCCCAGGAGGGAAGAGGGTGGTGGGTGATCATCCTGGGACAGGTGAGGTCTCTGGGGCAGAAAGGTGTCAGGACTGGCCTGAGATCACCTGGCAGGGTTGAGACTGGAACTGAGGGCCCTGCCCTGCCCTAGGCTTGCTCCTGTGGCTCCCACGTGACAAGTACTGACCCCTGTGCTAGTCTGAGGTCTGGAGCTCTCAGGGCAGCTCTTAGAGTCTAGCCCAGAAGGGGGAGGCTGTGCCTGTGTCACTGTGAGCTGAGACAGCAGGATCCACAGTGCCCAGAAGCGAGAGCGTGGCTAACAGTGCTGCCCTGGTGTCCTGCTGTCCCATCATGTGGGCTGTGGGCAGCCAGGGGAGGCCTCTGGGCAGATGATGTTTGGGCTCATCTGGAATGAGGAGGAAGGGCCCCTGGAGGCCTTGGGCAGAAAGGTGGTGGGCAGGGACATAGCCACCAAGGCAGGGAGGCCAGAGAGGCAGCTGGACCCCAGGCACTTTCGGAAAGCTGTGGCTACCGCCCTGCCAAGGGTCAGGTCAGATGAGAAATGCAAGGTGAGAAGGAGCCAAGGACCTTGGCTCAAGCTTTGGGGACTTGGGCATTTTCTGGGATCTCCAAGCAGGTTTGGGGCAGGACGAGGAGTTAAGTGCAAGGACTGGGATTGCATTTGCTGGCCATGTCGCGGGTGTAGACACTTGTGACTTGGGGGGGGCCTCTGAAGGCCATCCAAGGTGGGGTTCAGGCCCTGGTCAGGTGCCCTGAGGTTGCTACCCAGGAGCCCGGCTCCTCGCCAGCGCAGTGCCATGTGATCTGGCCCATGTAGGGTGTCCCTTTAAACAGTCTTTTCCACATATGCAGCCCTTCCACCATCCTGGCCACCCCAGATGCCCTCTGTTCCCCTTTCAGCCTGAAGAGTCTCCTTTGACTCAGCCCAATTCCCAGTCAACTCCATGCACCCCTGTGACTCTCATTCCAGGTGAGCCCAAACGTTAGCCTAAGGTGATCATAGGCCAGTCCTGACACCTCTCTGCCCCAGAGACCTCACCTTTCCTGAGATGATCAGCACCACCCTCCTCCCTCCTGGGCCTCAGTTTCCCCATCTGTTTACACGGGGCTGTGGGAATCCTACCTGTTTAGTGGGATGGTCGTGAGGATAGCCGTGTGGAGAGAGCAGAGCATGAGCCTGCCCCGTGCTGGGGCTGCACACACTTGGGCCACCACCATTCCTGTCCTGTTGTCTCTGGGGAGCCACGGCCTGAGGCGCAGGCCCAGCTGTGGGAAGGCCAGCATGCTGGTCCAGCCAGTTGTCCGCAGGTCTGCCGCAGGGCCCCAGTGTGTTACTGGCAGAGACAGAACAGCAGTTGTTTTAGTTGGGCAGATATTTCTTGGGTATCTACCCAGAACTGGGTACCTGGAATATGGTAGTGGCTGAGTTGTGTGACCACTGAGAGCCAACGGGAAGCAGAGAAGTTCTGAGGCCTCCCAGGGTCAGGCCCATCCATGGCCCAGGTGGCTACTCCAGAAACGCTGATCAGGGCGTGCACAGAGGAACACTAATGAGCTTGCCAGGCTTCTTGTGTTCACCTCCCTGCTCGCCCAGGCTGGAGTTCAGTGGCATGATCTCAGCTCACTACAACCTCCGCCTCCTGGGTTCAAGCAATTCTCCTGCCTCAGCAACTTCCTACCCGAGGGCCTTTGCACTTGCTATTCTCGCCAGTGGACAGCTCATACCTCATGTGTCCTATGGGGTCCCTGTATGCCCTCTTTACGGTGGCAGCCCTGCCTCTCCCCACCCACCCCTCTTCTGATGTGTGGTGATCCTTGGCATGTGTCAGCTTGTCACCTGTGTGCCCACATTGATGTATGTATTTATTTAGAGATGGGGTCTCGCTCTGTCACCCAGGCTAGAGTGCAGTGATACAATCATGTCTCGCTGCAGCCTCGAACACCTGAGTTCAAGTGATCCTCCTGCCTCAGCCTCCCAAATAGCTGGGCACATAGCACCATGCTCAGCTAACTTTGCTTTTTTTTCTTTTTCTTTTCTTTTTTTTTTTTTTGAGAGTTTCGCTCTCGTTGCCCAGGCTGGAGTGCAATGGCACGATCTCAGCTCACCGCAACCTCCGCCTCCTGGGTTCAGGCAATTCTCCTGCCTCAGCCTCCTGAGTAGCTGGGACTACAGGCATGTGCCACCATGCCCAGCTAATTTTTGTATTTTTAGTAGAGACGGGGTTTCACCCTGTTGACCAGGATGGTTTCGATCTCTTGACGTCATGATCTACCTGCCTTGGCCTCCCAAAGTGCTGGGATTACAGGTGTGAGCCACCGTGCCCGGCTCTTTATTTTTTATTTATTTTTTTTTTAGAGATGGAGTTTTGCTCTTGTAGCCCAGGCTGGAGTGCAATGGTGTGGTCTTGGCTCACTGCAACCTCTGCCCCCGGGTTCAAGTGATTCTCCTGCCTCAGCCTTTCAGGTAGCTGGGATTACAAGCACCTGCTACCACGCCCAGCTAATTTTTGTATTTTAGTAGAAATGGGATTTCACCATGTTGGCCAGGCTGGTCTCAAACTCCTGACCTCAGGTGATCTACCCGCCTCGGCCTCCCAAAGTGCTGGGATTACAGGAGTGAGCCACCACGCCTGGCCAACTTTTTTATTTTTATTTTTGTAGAGACTGGGTCACCATGTTGCCCAGGGTGGTCTTGAGCTCTTAGGCTCATGCGATCCTCCTTCTGCCTCCTAAAGTACTGGGATTACAGGCACGAGCCACCATGCCCAGCCCCTGTATTATTTATAATGATATTATTGTGTAATAAGTAGATAAGATGCCCATGCCGGGCTGGGCGCAGTGGCTCGCTCCTGTAATCCCAGTACTTTGGGGGGCCTAGGCAGGTGGATCGCCTGAGGTTGGGAGTTCAAGGCCAGCCTGACCAGCATGGTGAAACCTTTCTCTACTAACAATAAAAAAAGTAGCCAGGTGTGGTGGCAGGCACCTATAATCCCAGCTACTCGGAAAGCTGAGGCAGGAGAATCACTTGAACCTGGGAGGCGGAGGTTGCAGTGAACTAAGATTGCACCATTGCACTCCAGACTGGGCACAGAATCAGACTCTGTCTCAAAAAAAAAAAGATCTCCATGAGGAAGAGTGTCATGGGTTTTGTTCACTGCTGCCTGTCCTGCAGCCCAAACCCTACTAGGACATAGTAGACCCTCAGTGAGCCTGGGGTAATTAAATGGCCAGGGTAGGTAGGCAGCTCTGTTGGTGACCAGGTCAGTCCCAAAATAGCCTCCCGCTCTCTGCTTGCCTGTCCTGGATGAGTTGAATTAACCCCAGTAGGTGGGGAGCCAAGAACCACGTCCCTTGCTGTGTAGCCAGGACAGGCGGCAGTGGCCACAGCTGGGCCTTGGACAGGGTGGCGGGCACAGCCCACAGAAGGACATTTAGGCTCACCAGGAGAAGGCAGCAGGGCCAGGGGGGTGGGTGGGGGCTGCAGGCCTGAGCAGAGTGGGGCTGGGGAACCCTCAGCTGAGCCTGGCAGGAACGGGGAAAGGGCATTGGGCAGAGGGCAGTACCTAGGCAATGGCAGCACAGGATGTAGCAGGTGCATCGCTGGAGCAGAAGGAGTGGCTGTGACTCAGGCCGTTAGGCCTGAGCTCCAGTGTCCTCTTGACCTGTGTGTGACTTGGATCCCCGGCTCTCAGTAGTTCCTCATCTGGAAATGGGGACATGAATTGTAGCCATTCTCCTGAGGCTTGGGGAGAATCAAAGGAGAGACTGAGGGGCAGAAAGCCTCCTTGCTGCTGTTGGCCCTGGTTCCCGTGACCCTGGACAAGTGGTTGGACCTCTTCCTCTCCTGTCACCCAGCACAGGCTTTAGGGCAGATTCTCTGGGATTTTGAAGCTAAAACACAGGAAACACGGTGGGCTCTTAGAGAGTGGAGAAAGACGCATGGTGATGAGCATCTTTCAGGTCCAGCATGATGAGTTTCCCACCTGGGGCTCTGTGCCCCGGCCGTGCCCCGCACACTTTCCCTCCTCGGAGGGGCCTCCCTAAGGCCCCACCCAGCTTGTTCATTTCCTTTACACACTTGGAGCTCCCTGAAGCTGGAAACCGTGATATAGTCCTAGACTCCCCTTTCCCTGCTCGACTTCCCCGCTCGACCACATCTGAGCCATCAGCAAATCCTGCTGGCTGAGCTTTGAAACCCCATCCAGTCAAAACCCCACTCCACACAGCTCTGCCGCCCCACCCTGGTCTGTGCCCCATCTTCACCCTCAGGGCTCCCTGCCCCCCATCATTTCTCTCTGCAGTGGCAGCAGGATCCTGTGCAGTCATGAATCGCATCCGTCCTTTTGCTGACAGCCTTCCAGTGGCCCCCAGCTCAGATGGCTTAGGAGGCTCTGTGGGACCTGCCCTATCACCTCCCTGCCCCACATCGATCACCTCCACCCTTCCCCTCACCACTCCACTCCAGCTGCCCCTCATTCAGGCCCACTCCTGTTTCAGAGCCTTTGCGCTGGTTGTGCCCTCTCCCCCTGTCTCCGCCTGCCCCCATTCCCTGGCATCCTACACATCCACTTGCTTTTCATGTCTATTCCCTTTCTCCCGTTTAGTTTCACGAGGGCGGGACTCCTTGCCTGGCTTGTTCGTTGCTGCATTCCCAGCATCTGAAACAGTACCTGGGGCTCAGTAAATATGTGGTGGATGGGTGGGTGGGCTGATGGATGGCTGAGTAAGTGGACAGAAAGATGAGACACTAAAAACTGGTTGGAAGAACTTGAGTTAATTGTTTGCCCAGCAGGAGTTTGGAGTGGGCTGGTGAGCTGCAGACCTGGTGGAGTGTGAAGGCCTGTTTGCCGTTGCCTCCCGTGTCCAGTGTCTTTTTCTCATGGACTCTGCCAACAGGCCTCTGATCTTGCCCGCTGCGTCTCTGGCAGGGTCTGGCAGGTGACCCTGATGCGTGGTGCAGCACTGCCTCTCTTGTCTCTGCTCTGCCTTCGTGGCAGATTTGCTGAACGCTGTTCTGTGTCCTGGGACTCCCAGATCCAGGGCTGTGGTAGGGTGTGGATGCAGAGAGCCGGGGTACAGAGCAGGTGGCAGGGCCCTGGGTGCTGGGACTGACACAGTAGCAAAGGTTCACATGGGGCTTGAGTGTTCCAGGCACCGCTCTCAGCATGTCACAGAGGTTAGCTCATTCAGTCCTCTAAACCATCCTTTGAAGGACATTTTGTTATAGCCCCACTTTATGGATGAGGAAACTGAGGCACTGAGAGGTTACTCAGGATTCAGCTGTAGCAGTTGAATGGCTCCAAATGCCTGTCTCTCCACCCCAGCCTCTGCGCCTGAGTTTGCTGGGATAGGCGTCTCCATAGGCTTACCTGTCTCCACAATCCCCAGGATGTCATGACCGGGCCGTCCTACTCTATGAGTATGTGGGCAAGCGGATCGTGGACCTGCAGCACACCGAGGTCCCAGATGCCTACCGTGGGCGTGGCATTGCCAAGCACCTTGCCAAGGTAGGGCAGGCAGGCGGCAGGGCCAGGTGGTGGTGGGGCATGGGGGCCGCCACCTGCTGTCAGAGGAGATGGTGGCCCAGGTAGCCAGTCCAGCCTGCTCTTGGCCCTGGCTCCTCTCGGGGCTGGTAGCAGCCTTTTTGGGCCCGGGCTCCTGTTCTGCAAGCCCCTGGCGTGGCTGAGTCTCCAGGGTCCCCGCACACCTCCTGTGTGGCACATGCTTCACGGGAGCCTGATTCTGCCCTGGGGCCCCAGGCCTGGCCTGTAGTAAGTGCTCAGTCGGGCTTGTGGAACTGATGGATGACTGTTCGGTACATTGGCTCCCACCCATTCTGGCCCCAACCCCTTCATCCTCACCACATCCCAAACACCAGGCTACCTGGAGAGCAGATTTGGGCTTAATGAGGGAAGTTCCAGCCAGAGCAGAGAATGACTGTCAGTCCCCTGAGGGCCGCTGCTGGGACTTAGCTGGGCCCTCTGCTGGCTTCCCCTCCTATACCCCCACCCTGCCAGGAGAATGGCAACCTTTGCCTTCCGTGCTGCCTGGGGCACGGGGCTTATGCCTCCCTGGGGAGAGGTAATGTGTTTTTTTTCCATGTGCACTGGGCCAGTCTGGGGATCATCCCAGATGAGGCTGAAACTCAAGAGTGACTGACCTGGGCAAAGTGGGAGGGCAGTCTGGGAGCCGGGGCCTGGGGAGGGAGCAGATGATGCCACCTCGCGGTGCCAGCTGCAGGCCCTGACCACTCTCCTCTCTGCCCCGCTGCTCCCAGGCCGCCCTGGACTTCGTGGTGGAGGAGGACCTGAAGGCCCATCTCACCTGCTGGTACATCCAGAAGTACGTCAAGGAGAACCCCCTGCCACAGTACCTGGAGCGCCTGCAGCCGTAACCCTGGCCCGCAGGCGGGAGCGCTCCCTGCCGGACCCTTCATCGTGCTCTCAGGAACCTGCTCCCACTGGGAACAGACTCAGAGTTATTTTTGTAAGAACACTTTTCTGTGCCCCATATCCAGATTTCTGGAGGCGGCTGACCAATGCTGGGCAGTGACCCGGTCACCTAGGCGGAGAGGAGGCCGGGTAGTCCCCACAGCTCCCACTCTGCAGAGACCAGCAGCTTTCTTGGGAGGCCTGCGGGGAGCACATCGGGGCTAGAGCCAGCCTGCATCCCACCCACCAGGCTCCACTCAGAGATCAGGAGGTCCAAGGCGAGACCCCTGCTGCCACCTCTCCCGGGCCTGTGTTCTTTCTGGAAGTTACAGGGGTGCGCCCCGGAGTCGAGGAGCAATAAGAAACCTCATGTGCCAGCTTCTGAGGGTGGCAATGCCAGACCCTGCCTGTTACCAGCAGTGCCCTCTTCCTTTCTCAGACCCCAGGCCTCGTGCAGGCAGGCCCCAGAAAGGGCCAGTTCTCCCTGACAGAGACCAGAAGAGTAAAGGACTGAGCGCTAGGCCAGGCTCAGCCACACGTGCAATTCACACCTGTGAACACACACAAATGCATAGGATGCAGCCTGTGGGTGGGCCGGTGGCAGGTCCCATGGGTGTTTTCCTCCCCTTTTTACCCCCATATTTTTTTCTGGCCTCTTGTGTATAGGTTCTGTGGGATACCAAGGCCCCGTCCCCATGGGCTGCTGTCCCCTATGCCCCTGTCTGCTGGGAGCAGCTCCAAGGGGGCCTGAGCAGCTGCAGTCCCACCCCTTGCTGGCCTTTGCCACCTGCCTGGGCCTTCTCCAAGGAGATGCCTTGGAGCTGAGGGTTGGAGAGAGGCGAACTGTTCTCCAGAAACCACCCTCAGCATCAAAGAGGAAGAAAAATAGCAGCCGCAGGGATTTCTGTGCACTGCCAGTCAGCAGTGTCCCTTCATGGCTGCGCATAGCCAGACACACACTGCTGCCCATCCAGCCCGGGCTCCTCCCCCACCCAGCCTTCCTGGGTGCAGCCTGGGAGACACACCAGTGTGATTTGGTGGGACCAGCCCTTCTGGGGCACTCTGGCTTCCCCTGGGGCTGGCTCAGGTCCTGCCCTCTTGTGTCAGCTTTAACAAGGGTCACATTCAGCCCTGTTCCCCTGGGGGCTGGAGGGCCACCCTGTAGCCAGGGGCCCTTAGGGCTGAGACATTTGTCAGTCAACACCACATCCCTGGAGGTGACACATCCCCACCAGGCTTCTGGTGGTGTCAGGCTGGGCTCTGGGCAGCACAGGGAGAGGTTGGTCAGGACCCCGGGACCCTGATGCCTTCCTCCTCCATTCAGGGGCGCTGGTTGCCATGGTGACTCCTCCCTCTGACTCACGCAGGCGCTGGCTGCCCTGTGTTTGTGTTTTCCATTCACCTCCTTGCTACCCCCAGTCTTGGCACTGAGACACCTCGCGTTCCTTCTCCAACCACAGCAGCTCAGGCCTTCCTGCCAGGCCGCAGGACCATGGAAATCTGCATGTGCTCCCTGCAGATGGGGGTCCCCAAGCCCCAGTCTCCTTGAAACCCCTGCCGTGAGTCACAGTGAGGACCAGTAGGGGTCACCATCCTGAGCAGCCCCCCCATCCCTGCCCCTTGCCCTGTGGCATGTGCTCCTGCCCTGGTCTCCAGGAAGTCAACTCTGTTTGCAAAGGGTTTGTGTGAGATATCAGAGAAGGCACTGGGCCTCCAGGGAGACACAGCTGGCAGGAGGTGGGCTCAGCTGCTCTCAGTCCCCTTCAAGGCTAGGGGTGGCCCATTGCTGGCAGAGTGTAAGGAAAGAACAGGTTGTAGGCACAGAGGATGGGCAGCCAGGCCTGGGCCTTCCCCTTGCTGTCCTGGGGCAGCTGGGCTGGGGGCCACCTTTCTATCCTCATGTCCCTCCCCAAGGTTGAGCACATACTCCATCACGACCATGGGGGGCCTCAGTGAGCTGGGGCTGTCCCTGTGGCCTCCAGGCCATCCACAGGCAGATCCCCTGCAGTGGTAGCACGGGGAGCCCTCACAGGAGGCCCTGAGGGCAGCATGGATGTTGAGGACCAGGAGGGAATGGGCCTGGCCCACCCTGTTCCTGCTCCAACCGGATTCCTCCCCCATGTTCAAGCAGGTGACTGCATTTATCCAGCCCACAACACGCTTATACTTGAACCAGGAGGCATGGGGTCATGGAGGCCTGCACAGGCCATGTGCCCAGGAACCTTTCTGAGGAGACCTGATCCAAGCTCCCTCACTTACGACCTGGGCCTCCTTGCCTTGGGCTGCCTTAAAGCACTGCTGACTCACACCAGGGGCCCGGCAGGACTTTGTGGGGCCTGGCCCGAGGTCTCCAGCAGAGCAATAACCACATCTCCCCAGGTTGGGTCACCATAGACACCCCACCCCAGAGCCCCCAGCCCATCCCATCTGGTGCTACACTGCCTGGCAGCGCAGCTTCACCCCTCCCTGTCCTGGGTCACCTGGGAGTCCTTGGTGAGGATGCTGCCACATGGGGCTGGTTTATGCAGCTGGGTGAGAGCCAGGGTGGGGCAGGGGGTGTTTGGGGGCGTTGAGGTCTCCCACAGAGCTGCTCTCCTGTCCTCACCCTGTGGGGTTCTCTTTCTTGCCAGGTTAAAATAGGCAGTGACTTGTGCCTTCCCTCCTCAGGCCCGTGGCAGGGTGTGGGCCCAGCTGGCTCCTGGACCACCCCCTTCCTCACTGCAAGCTCCTCCACTGGTCTCAAAGGAACGCTTCCATAAAAGGTGTGGCTTGGTGTGTAGTGCTGTCCCCACACTGTCCCTCCTCCCAAAGCAACCTGCTCATCAGCCCCAGCCTTAAACTGGTGGGGAGGAGGAGGCAGACTTACCTCCCTGGTGTCTGGCCTCTTCTCAGTTGGTCCTCCAGCACAGCCTTCACTGGAGGGCAAGACCCTGAGTGGCACTGGGGCTTGGCTGAGGTCCTCCGGCAGGATAACGGTGACCTCAGGACCCCAGGCCCCACACCACAGTTCCCGACCACCACCAGGTATAAAATGCACCCGGAGGCCACAGCCCAGCTCTGAAGCAGCCTGGCTTTGTGGGGTTTCCTAGGAATGGGTAGTGATGCCACCTATAAGATTCGCGGTGCTGTAAGAAGTTGCTGTGGTTGGGATTCCCGGTCCAGTGCAGGGAGGTGAGGCCCAACCTCGTGCTGACACATACCCATCAGGGAAAGCTGGGGCCAATATTTCTAAAACAAGTGAAAATTGTGTGCTGTGCCCAGGGCCACATCTCATTCTGCCCCAGCTCCTGAGGGAAGGGACAGCTCGTTTCCACTCGGGGTTACATGGCTGCCCGAAAGGACAGAAACAGCCAGGCCTGTTGGAATCTTACTCCGCTTCGTTTTCACAGCAGCCCTGAGACATGCCCATTATTAGGCCCATTGGATGGATGGGACTGAGGCTCAGTCAGGGGTCACAGGCCAAAGCCCATGCTGATCCAAGGGCCCAGCATCCAGCTCAGCTCCGGTCCTCTTGGTGGCGTGGAGCTTGTGTGATAAGAGTTCTCACATCTGCCTGTGGTGACAGGTGGCCTTGAAAGCAATAAACAAAACTTCCAGCAACTTTGCCACTCAATTGCATGGTTGTGGCAGGTCCTGCCTCGACCCATAAGGCGAGCAGCTAATCAGGAGTGCCAGGCTGGTGTGGGGAAGGCTGGATCACATGTGAAGCCGGGGTCGTAAGCAGGAATATTCATGGAGCCCCTGACCATATACTCACGCCGCTCTTCCTCAGTTCAGGGTTCTTGGATTTGCTGAAGTCCACCCAAATATCCTATGATTCTCAGGGTCCCACTCCTTCCAGATCAATGCCCTAAATGTTCTGTAAGAGTTCTGGCGAGGCTGTGAATTCAGCTTGCATCGTAACTGCAACCTGCAGGGTCAGATTTAGGGTTTTCAGTTGTATCAGTCTTAGAGCTACATGATATTAAAGAGATTTTTCTCGTTATCAAAGATGCTCTCTGGTTTTCTGTCCATGTTTTGAGCTGGGTTTGTCACTTCTGACTCTGGTGTGGTCAGAAGCCACCAGTCTCCAGCTGTCCCCATGACATAATGAAGGGCTGCAGCCATTTGGTCTCTCAAGCTTTGCCTTCACCCCAGGCACTTAAAATAGGTGATATTATAAGGACTAGTTTTGCCGCTGAATGCTGTGATTTTCCAGGGTATCTTGTCCCCTCTGCCAATGAGGGCATGACTGCATTCCAGCCCAAGCCAGGCAGATAACCAATCCCAATTTCCAGCATTAAGGGTCTATTTCTAGGAAGTCATTCCCGCTACCAAGGACATTATCAGTCAGTGAAGAGTGGAACTGGTTATGAAAACTGTTGGATGGCCGGGCGCAGTGGCTCACGCCAGTAATCCCAGCACTTTGGGAGGCCGAGGTGGGCAGATCACAAGGTCAAGAGTTCGAGACCAGCCTACCAACATGGCAAAACCCCATCTCTACTAAAAATACAGAAAAAATCAGCTGGGTGTGATGTGGGCATTTGTAAACCCAGCTACTGAGGAGGCCGAGGCAGGAAAATCACTTGAACCCAGGAGGTGGAGATTGCAGTGAGCCTAGATCGTGCCATTGCACTCCAGCTTGGACATCAGAGCGATATTCCATTAAAAAAAAAAAAAAAACTGTTGGAAGAATGAGAGGAATGAGAGAGAGATTACCTAAATATTGGTAATGGCAGGAAGCTTTTACATCAAGGCTGGAGGAATGGACGTCACCCAGAGTGTCTCCAGGTCATGGGACTACTGGTTCTTAGTAGAACCTTGCTGGCTGCATAAGACCCAGATATGCACCCTGCTGATGACTGATGCTGCCACCACTAAAAACACCCCCAGGTCCAGTAATTAGAAGGTCCAATTACTGCCTTCTAATTGATCAGTGCTTCCTACTGGCAGAAACAAATCGGAAGCTCACTGGTAAGATTCTAGCAAATGTAGTTTGCAGGCTTCCAGCCTCTCGGTGATCAGAGGAGAGTTCTGCAACCAACAGACAATCAGGGCAAGCAGAAATATTCACACTCAGCTATGACGTAACGCGGCATATGACATAATGCCAGTTCACTGACACCAAGGCTGAGGCAAAACATCCAGGCAGACCCAGAATGGATGGGGAGTAGGTAGATGATTCGGTGTTAGATGGGTGGGTAGATGAGCGAGTGGATGGATGGAGTGCTAAAAGTAAAAGGTCGCTTGTCCTGGGGTTGAAGGAAACACTCATAGGTCATTAAACATGGAGTCATCTGGGAGGTCTGGCTGGGTGAGATTCTATTATTTTCTGAATTAGGGAGAGGGTCGAACCCAGGAGCTGAATAGATCCTCGAGAGGTTTATTCCTGAAAGTTGTCCTGATTCAGGAGAAAATTTGATGATGGGGTCACACGTGGGGTGTGGAAAGGCACTGAGACTGCAGGAATAAGCCTCTGCCTGGCCATTCTGGAATCTAGGAAAGAAAAACCAGGGAGTACGAATGTTTCAGTGTTTCATCTGCCATCCAAGACAAAAAGGGGTCATCTCATTTAAACTTCCCAACAAGCCATGAGGACAGAACCTGCATCCCTTTCAGGTGGAGCTGCTGCCCTCTGGAGATTCGATGCCATCGGCACCATGCTCAGTGAGGGTGACCCGGGCAGATGGGGTTCTGTCTTCCCAGGACCAGAGTTCAAGGGAGGGGGATGAGAAAGTACACACGTAGTAAGAAACTCTGTGACCAGCTATTGGTGCACACACAGGCGATGCACCCAGCCACAATGCAGAGAACCTGCAAGGCTCTCTTGAAGAAAGGACACATGGACTGGGGCCTGAAAGAGACGTGTGGACTGCGGCCTGAAATATGAGAGAGCTTTGCAAGGGGCACAGCCTGCAGGCCCCGTGGGATCAACGCCTCACGGACTCTGGCCTCATCTCCCACTACTCTTCCCCTTTCTCACTCCACCCCAGCCACGCAGGCCTGCTGCTGGTCCTCATACCTGCAAAGGTGCCCTCATCTCAGAGGCTATGCCCTCTGCCCAGAGCTCTCTTTCCCCAGATATGCTCATGGCTCCCTCCTTCACCTCCTTCAGGTCCATGCCCGGTGATCTCCTTCTGGATGAGGCCTTCTTTCTTACTTCTCCCCTACTCAACATTCCAAATTGCTACCCCCTCCACTTCGGATCCCCTTACCCTGCCATATGTTTCCAACCATTGATTTCTTCTTTTTTTTTTAATTTTTAAGACAGGGTTTCACTGTTGTTACCCAGACTGGAGTGCAATGGCACCATCTCGGCTCACCGCAACCTCTGCCTTCTGGGTTCAGGCAATTCTCCTGCCTCAGCCTCCTGAGTAGCTGGGACTACAGGCACGCACCACCATGCCCAGCTAATTTTTGTATTTTTAGTAGAGACGGGGTTTCACCTTGTTGACCAGGATGGTCTCCATCTCTGTACCTCATGATCCACCCGCCTCAGCCTCCCAAAGTGCTGGGATTACAGGCATGAGCCACCGTGCCCGGCCTATTGATTTCTTCTTAAGCAATGTGTGATTTGTTTATTTTATCTGGTTTACTATTCATTGTCTCTCCCAGCTAGAATACAAGCTCCATGAGGGCAGGGGTTTGTTGTTTTGTTCATTGCAGTATCCCAGCATCTGGATCTGTGCCTGGTACACATTTAGTGCTCAAAACATTTGTTGGATCAGTGAGTGGGTAAATCAGTGGATGGGTGTGTGGATGGGTGTGTGGATGGGTGCGTGGATAGGTGGGTGGATGGATGGGTGGGTGGATGGATGGATGGATGGGTGGGTAAGTGGATGAATGAATGGATGAGTGGGTGGGCGAATTAGTGGATAGGTGGGTGGATGCTGGGTGGGTGGGTGAGTCAATGATTGGATGGATGAGTGGTTGGATGAATGGCTGGGTGGGTGGATATATGGATGGATAAAAGAGAGGGTATGGATGAAAGGGTGGATGGGTGAGTGGGTAGATGATATGGTGGACTCTGATGGGTAGATGAGTGGGTGAATTGGTGGATGAGTGTGGGTGGATGGCTGGCTGGGTGGATGAGTTGATAGATGGGTGAATGAGTGGATGTGTGGGTGGATGGGTGAGTGGGTGGATGAGTGAATGGGTGGATGGATGGATGGGTAGGTGGGTGAGTGTGTGGATGGATGGGTAGATGAGTGGGTGGATGGGTGGATGAGTGGGTGGGTGGATGGGTAGGTGGGTGAGTGTGTGGATGGATGGGTAGATGAGTGGGTGGATGAGTGGGTGGGTGGATGGATAGATGGATAGATGAAGGTGTGGGTGGATAAATGGCTGGGTGGATGAGTAGGTGGATGGATCAGTGGATGAGTGGGTGGATGAGTGTGGGTTGAGGCTGGCTGGATAAGTGGATAGTTGGGTGAATGACTGGATGTGTGGGTGGATGGGTGAGTGGATGGATGAGTGAATGGGTGGATGGATGGATAGGTAGGTGAGTGAGTGGGTGTGTGGATGGGCGAATGGATGAAGGGGTGGATGGGTGTGGATGGATGAGTGGCTGGGTGGATGAGTAGGTGGATGGATGGAGAAATGGATGAGTGAGTGGGTGGATGAGCGGATGGGTGGATGGGCAGATGGGTGGATGGGCGGATGGGTGGATGAGTGAATGGGTGGATGAGTGGGTGGTTAGATGCTTGGGTGGATGAGTGGATGGATGGATGGCTGGGTGAATGACTAGCACAGTGAGAGAGAGAAGGCTCCAGGAGGGCTAACCAGCATAAGAAAGGCCTAGAGATGAGAGAGTCATGCCATCCTTGAGGGACTGAATTAAGATGAGTGAGGCTGGCAGGGATGAGGCTGGAGAGGTAGGACGGCTGGATGGAGAGCCCTGAGGTGCGGCAGAGATTGTTAGCAGTTCAGTGGGTTTTCACTCATGGGCGCAGAGCTGTGCCTCCTGCCACCCACATAGCAGGTGGGGCCTGAGGTCTGCATTCTGCAAGGAGCATGGATATGGGCTCCCCAGGCTCTCTCTTTCCCGATCCACTGCTGAATACCATTGGTGATTAGGCCTTGGGAAGGGTGAATCTACTCACTGTAAAGAACACAGGTTTCAGAATCACTGCATTCAGCTTTTCAGGAGAAAAGCCACATGCCACTAACGAGCTCTTTGGCTTGAACGTGTTCTGACTTATGTGAGTGAGAAATACATCTCCGTGGTGTTTTAATCATTCTGCATTTTGGGGTCTATTTGTTACAGCAGATAGTATGCACTAATGAGTACTTCAAAATACAGTGCTGCCGTAACTTGAAACCTAAAACACGTAGCAGTGGCTTAGTGGACAGGCAGCAAGGAACATGGAAACAGATGTCACAGAATGGAAAGTGGGAGATGCACATCACGCAGGGGTGAAATGTTTGTTGGAGCTGGAGCCTACAATAGCGTGGAGGGCAGAGTGGGGAGAAGTAGGCCTGTAGCTCCAGAGGAAGACGGCTAAGCTGCAATAGAAATGGACATCGGGCCGGGCGCGGTGGCTCACACCTGTAATCCTAGCACTTTGGGAGGCTGAGGCAGGAAGATCACGAGGTCAAGAGATTGAGACCATCCTGGCCAACATGGTGGAAACTCCACCTCTACTAAAAATACAAAAATTAGCTGGGTGTAATGGCATGTGCCTGCAGTCCCAGCTACTCAGGAGGCTGAGGCAGAAAAATCGCTTGAACCAGCAGAGGCTGCAGTGAGCCAAGATTGCACCACTGCACTCCAGCCTGGGCGACAGGGCAAGACTCCGTCTCAAAAAAATATATATATGTTGGTCATTCCTTTGGTGTATAGTAAGGCATTGTGAGACAGAGACGCACTCAAGCAAAATATAAATAGTGTGTAAAGGAAGAAATGGAAATATGAACAGTTTGAGGCCGTGCAGTGTTGGAAAAGTGAACTGTAAATGGATCTCAAATAGCAGGAAATAAAAATGAAAGGTTTGAAATAGCAAAGGCTCTTG